TCAACAGTTACTCTGCCAGTGTTGTTCCCAGCAAGATAATGAAGATTTCGACTCTCTGTGATAAGTCAGTGCCAATTTATCATCGAAAACAATGAATGAGTTTGTTTCAAATCATGCAAACTTAAAGCCAAGCCACGCTCGTTCTCTGTAAAAGGTGGATGTGTTCGGAAGTAGCCCCCCCCCCCCTTTCTAGCCCAAGTATTAACATATCTTGACAGCAATTAGCCACAGGAAAGTTTGTCAACAGTTTTTCTGCCAATGTTATTCCTAGCAAAGTGATGACGGTTTCGATTCTCTGGCAGTTCTTCGTCAGTGCCAATTTACCATCGAAAAAAATGAATGAATCGTAGAGGGATTGGTTGTTCAATGACGGAATAAAGCCTTTTTCCTTCTTCAAGACGTCAGCACCGCTGGTCACAGCGTCATGTCCATAAATTCTTAAACGAAAACTACATCCAAGTAGCCTTGCACATGTACGCAGCAAAAGTCTCTGTCACAAAAATTCTTTGTTAAATGGTACCATTCCGTCCAGCTGATACTGGTAAGTTGGATGGCATGAGAAGAAAGAGATTGCTTCGGCCAGCTGTTCCATCCTTTCGATGAACTGTTCCCTTTCCACTGATGCATTGCCCTCCCGTATCGAACTTTCCAGTTCTGCCGCCCGACTGTAGAACTGCTGCATTGCATCGACCGTTTTCAGCACTTTTCGGATATCTGAACAGCAATCATGCATAATCGCAGTCAAATGATTAAAAATGAGACAGTATTTTAGATATTACTGAGAAAAATTTTATACATATAAGCTTGATATCAACCAAAGAGTTGGCTAAAATGAAGACAGTTAGAGCGCAAAAGTGGATGAATTGGATTACTGAATGGTACTCGCGCAATGCTATGTGAACATTGGGAAGGTTGCCAAAGCGTCAGAAAGATTTAGTTGAAGATTTGATTTAAAAATGCAGCAGATTAGCCACTAAATACAGCACTAATCAAAGCAACTGGGAAACATACCAATAACACAGCTAGAGAGAACGACTAGAAATTATAATTTTTCCAAGCATTTTAAGTAAAATTTTTAACTTTGACGGGGACCAAATTAGCCGCACTGTCGAGATTATTGTGGTGCTGAATAGGAATGTAAGCGATGTGAAAAAAAACCGAAACATTCTTCTTCTATTAATTTCTTTATATATATAAAATAAAATATATAAACTAGAAAAGTATATGCAAAAAAGGTAAAATATTCATATTTAAGAATATATAATTAATTAAACAATTAAGGATACAATTAAAGTAGATAATTAGGAAAGAAGAATATATAATTAAGAACATACAATTAATTAAAAATATATTTTACACGTATGTATACTCATATTGGATCACATATATGCATATTTTATATGTATATATACATGTAATTACCACAATTTTTATTGAAATTAGTTTTACCAAGTTAACGATGATAAAAAAAAAATGCTAACTTGCTTGTTTGCGTTGCAGAAGAGCGGTTTTTTCGTGCAACGGTACCACACTCTGATCTAGCTGTACCAGGCGATTTTGGAAGCTTTCCAGTAATGTGGTGATTTCACGGCTCAAATTCTTGCTCTTCTCGAGATTCTCCTCGAAAACACGCAGCCATTCGCTATCCTAAAATTCCAAGACATATATAATAAACGATGCTTTGCAGAAAACGCAATTTCACGACTAAATTAACAAAATAACGTATTTAATAAATTTGCGGGGTCGCGCGTGTGTGGGGAATGTTCCCCTAAATTTTCAGCTTCCTAGCTTTTGTGGTTCCCGAGTTGAAAGTTGCGGA